TTAAGCACAATTACACGCTGTTCTTTTTCCCACATATATCCTTCATTTCGCGTCAACGTGGTCTTATCTCATATTCGTATATTCGTGTCTTTCGAAACATCATTTTTCTCCTGATTTCGATCATTTATTGAATCAATGATAAAAAGGTTCGCGAATAATTGAGCGATTTCTATAAAACGTATCGCAGCAGAAATTACAAATTTTTCTCGGATCATTCGTGGGTGTCGTACGTAGGTGCCTCCTGAAATGTCTATGATGTTTGTGGAATAATATCGTGTGGCAAGATACCGATGACAGTTCTAAAGGCTTGGGTATCTTATGAACTATTATTATATTCAGCAAACGAATATATCGAATAGCTGATTATAAAACTGCTATTAATAATCTCAGAATTATAGTAATTATACGAGTTATTCTCGAATTATTAATAAAGACGCTATACCTCGAGTTTCCGTGAATTCGTCATTTACCTTAGTCATTCGCTAAATTAGAGTCGCGAAAATAAACGAGTGACTCGATGCAGCTAATTAGGTGCATCGAAGCAGCGAAAATTACAAGCTCTTATGGCAAAAATTAAAATATTCGGAAGTTCAAGAATATCAAGCCACGAGTCCACTAATTAAAACGTAACTCTACCTCTGCAATTCAACTGATACTTACTTCCAAACAGTTCAAATGATCCACGCACACCGGAAGTTCACTTATTCCAACGCAAACACGACCCAAAAGACGCGAGGCAGGAAACGAGAAGGCAAAGCAGAGGATTCCGTGGCAAATCGACACGGAGTTCACGTCACGAACGTTACTCGAAAATTTTCAGAGCACCTCGCAAACTTTTCTCGTTAAACGAAGGCCACGGACACGTAGTGGTCGCTGCGATTATTACTCGCTTCCGGAGTCCACGAAATTAGGCCTGTCCACGTGACGTTCGCGTGACAATTTAGGGAATGTTCGACGCGACGAGCGCTGCCAAAACGACACCGGAACGAGCACCGTTTCTCTTAACGAGCGAAATCGTGTAGCCCGAATTAACTTTAGACCAGAAACGGTTCGTCATTGACGAAATGGCGATATACGAGTCGAAAATCCGACTGGCTAGCGCGTTACACGGTATTAACGCTAGATTTATGGAACCTGTCAATTTGACGGAAGGGTTATACGTTCCAATTATACGATGGTAGCAGATTTAGTTAACTTATATTAAGACTGTTAATATAATATATAATTGTTTTTAAATTAAACTGTTAGAAGTCAGCTACGCCTATGCAACGATGACGACAGGCCTGCTAGAGGTTGCAGGCCAATACCGACCTTTGGACATCAAGGGGTCGGTCTTGGGGGTTTAAAAGGGCCTGCTGTCCCTCGGAGCTCTTCACCCTCAGATCAGGAACAGTATAGATACTTTATATATTGTGACCCACAGTGGCATTAAAAAAGACTCTAGTATTTCATTTGTATATTGCATAAAGTGTATAAATTTCACGTATATTAAACCTTTATAAATACAATTGCTGTATAACTGAATACGGTTATTTCCCTGCACGTTAATTATTTGGCTACTCCCTTCACGAAATTCCCAACATAAACTAATCGTTTAAAAAAGGGGCACGTGGTTTCCTTTACCTGTCAATTTGACAGGTGTCCTTAGAAATAGGTATACAGACAGCGTTCGTAAACCTAGTGTTAAATCGGATCACGCGAGTTCATGCGAGGGATCACCGGTCCCTCGAGCTTGCTGATGTCTGTTACGCTGTTAGAAAATGTTATCGGCGATGAAAAAATGTTATCCATGTCTCTGAAATCTCTTATTGGATGTCAAGCGAGAACTTGGAATCTATTAAAGCATCTGGATATTTACATAACAAATAACAAATACAATAAATATCCTTAAACGTATAAATAGGAATAGTGGTTAATCTAGGTTTATAAAACTAATGACTCTGATACAGAGTACGCGTAGTTTACAGGTAATTTACAGGTAATTACACTTATTGCTATATGGGGACGTGGTAAGTAGGGAGCACTTAATCTATGATGTATAAAAATATAGAAAAGGGTAGTAAAAACTATATTTATCTGTCGCTGAGGTGAGGGAGGAGAGGGGGGCGGTTATTACGAATAGTGTTTTTATATACATATGGAAAACGATGATAAACATAATTAAAATAAATTTATAATATATAAAATAATATAACATAGTATATAAAATATAATATATACAAGTAATAAAGGAAAATAAAGAATTTTTCTGACCCCCCGGCGGGGAATCGAGCTGCGATTTTTCGCTTGGTTGGGGGATGCTCGCTAACTGATTCCGGGGTCGGCTTAGGTTAACATTTGGTTTTAAGTTGGTTACGTGTAAATAGACTTTATATGGTGGCTTGTACTTATTCGAGCAACCAGTATTTCTTTGTGTTGTGTTTGGGGTTGTCGTCTATATATCTAGAAGGGTTAATTTGTACGTATATTTTAGTTGGTGATCGTCAGGTGCGATGTTTGGGCTGCATTCTATTTTCTTGTCAATCGCTTTCCTATTGAAGTGGTATATTAGTGGGATGTTGTTTCCGTTTTGAATAAAGCCCTCTTTATCCAGGTAGGTATATACCTGGCAAAGTGCTCCTTACAGGAACACTTCGACCATCGTGTCCTGAAAATGTCTAAAAATATCCTACATACAGGAAACGGAGATTTTCCAAGCACTTGTGGGAAAATCCTCGAGCCTCCTTAAAGTTAAAATCCATCTAATGGCGAGGATGAGAATGTGCTATAACGATGGCTATAGCTTGTGACGAATTAGTCATGCGAAACTATGCAAAAATGAATTACAGTCCCAATAAGAGTAAAATTTATTTTAATTCAGAAAACTTCTTATTTCGAGCGAAATGGATTGATAATGACTAATTGAAATTCAATAGGTTTTCAATGCGGAAATTTCTAGGCAAGTAGCGATCAACAACGAGCAACGGAATAAGCCTCGAGCGAGTGGTTCATTCATAGACGTCGGCTTCTCGCGAATCGCGTACACAGCGACGGATTTAGCAAACGAAGGATGAAAACGGCAGCCATGTGCAAGACTGGAACCTCATCCGAATATGCTGGTATTTAAAATTAGCATGGAACGCGAATGATTCGCACGCATCGGCCCAAACCACGTTCGCGTGTTTTCTCTCCCGAACGAGTACAACGGGTTTCTTCGAACCTCGACATTCCTAGAACGAATCACGAATTCGAAACGTGTTTCCGAGTCCGTGTACCCAATACTTCTCTACCGGCTACGAGATCTATTTGCTATTAATAAAGCACCATGAATACGCGATGGAAGCTTAGGATGAAACATCGAGACACGCATGAAACGCGCAGAGGGCAATCTATTTTGAATATTTTGCTTGTTAAATTCTGTGAGAGGAATATTTATTTGGATGGCGTCACCCTGCATCGAGATCAACAGGTTGTCATGATGCAATGGGTTGTCATAGAGCTCATAAAAACCTTTTTGACAGTCCACCGTCTGCATCACGCATCATAGAAAACTTCGAGCCTCCGTTTATTTCATACCACCAAGAAATATAAAATATAACCAGAATCAAAAGCCCCTTTTGATTTATTAATCCCGTCCTAGCACAAAAGGAAGAGAGAAGATAGACCTTAGAGCATTGGAGAGACTACAAATGGATGATGCGAACATGAGTCTGAAGAAGATCCTAGAAGGGACAAATTGGCTTAAAAAATTAGAAAATAGGAAGATAAAGAGAAGTTAACCTAGAATAATTGTAGGATACCAAAAGAAATGGCGAATCGGCTATTGCCAAGAAAAACAAATTATAAACCGATCGATATCTTCTAGAAGCAAATCGAAAAGTTATTCTATATAACAAAATTAAGTTGCGTGACACCTCTACAGGGAGGTGAAACGTAGGTTAAGGAAAGCATAAAAAGCGTGGTCCTTGACAACCAAAACAGAGTCCTTAGAAATCGGTTGTGACTAGCACAAGCGTGAGTCGCTTGGTGTTGGAAAGAGAGTTTTAAAAGAGTGCGTCTTT